TAGCCACCTCCCCGGCACGTCTCTGCTCCCTGGTAGCTTTAGCAACCTGGGCATCCAGTGCGTGAAGAAGAAGGAGATCGAGGCGGCGATAGAGAAGAAGCTGCAGTTGGGCATCGACCCCTTCAAAGGTGGGGGGCTCAAGCGGAGCCGTTCCTGGGGGCCAAGACCCTGTCATTGCGGGGGATCCGGATGCCACGGGGATGTCCCCGCCCCGTGCGGCCGCTGACTGTCCCCTCTCCTTTCGCCCAGCCGGTTCCCTCAAGAACCATCAGGAGGTGGACATGAACGTGGTGAGGATCTGTTTCCAGGCCTCCTACAAGGACGGCTCCGGGCAGATGCGGCACCTCAGCCCCGTGCTTTCGGAGCCCATCTTCGACAAGAGTATGTGGTGGGGGGGTTTCACGTCCTCAATGGGGCCACCAGACCCCCAGAACCCTCCCTGCTCCGGGATGGGACGGGTGTGAGGCTGCGCCAGCCGGTTCCTTGCCGGAGCCCGGCTCGGTCTCCGGGGTTTGGCCAGGGTTGGTCCCACGTGGCCGGTGGGGATTTGTCCCCCGTGCCCAGGGTGGGATGGTCACCCCTGTCCCAAGGGGTTTGTACCCCACGCGAGAGCTGGTCGAAAGAGATGATGCCGATGGGAACGTCCCCGGTGTCTGATCCTGGTCCTGGTGCCCCGTCCCAAGTCCGACACCCGGGCGGTTTGGGAGTCACCTCTCCGGCTCGCAGCCTGAGCCACGATGGTGCCCGCAGAGTCCACCAACACCTCGGAGCTACGGATCTGCCGGATGAACAAGGAGAGCGGTCCCTGCACGGGCGGCGAGGAGCTCTACCTGCTCTGCGACAAGGTCCAGAAAGGTACCGGGGGCTGAGCTGGGAACCCTGCGACCACGACGGCATCTTTGGGGGCCAAATTGCCCCCCCACCACCACCCCAAGAAGCCAGGATGGGGGTGAAAGGGTGGGGGGGTGGAATGCCAGAGGCGCTGGAAAGTTTTTGGGATGGGTCCAAATGGGGTTGGGAGCTGGGAGCTGCCACCTCCCCCCAGGTTCCTAAACACCCCTGGGTGCTGGAGGGGGGAACTGTGGGTGCTGGAGAG